TTGTACTTCAAGCCATAGTTTGAATATATGATGAGTAAAATGGCTGGCTTTAGCATGCTTTATGAAGCTTTTGTATTCTGATTCATGGTTTCTGTGCTGTTTCCTGCCACCAGCTAATTGAGAGCTCTTATAGACAGGATGCAGATGTCATATCCATTACTGACACATTGTGCTTTGTGATTAGCTACCTGGAATAACACTTCCACGCTTCCTCCTCTTTGCTGATCACTGGTCATATTGGGAGGTATTCTATCTTTTATTGCTCCAAAAACCTTGTTTCTGGTCTTTAGATGGCTGAATTAAACCCACTGTTGCAAAGGAAGCCATGTACTGTGTTGGAATTTGCCTATTTCCATAAACAAACTAATTAGAGTTTCGTTTTGTTAATCCCCACGGCCAATATGTTGCAGTACTGCTGTATGTTTGGCATATAAGCAATCATTTCTTCCTTTTGTAAGTCACGTTATTCTAATCCTTGCCAGTGATCTTTTATCAGCCAGCCCTGGGAAGAAAACACAGAATGTGCTATTAGCTTTGTAGATAAGCAGTACAACTGTCTTTTCAGAAATGTAGCTTATCCATTTATCAGCTTGTAGGTGTTGATGCACACGGGCGATCAAGGTGTCCAATTGAAACACTTCTGATAGTTTGGCCCCAAAGGCTTCCAACCTTAGCCTTGTTTTAATAATCGGGCCATTTCTTACCGCCTGGGTGAACAGTAGGTTCCTCCAACAAAGGAGCTGGTTATTGACCAGGGGTTATTTTTAGTCTTCCATGCAGATGAGTGAAGGAACTGTTGATTTCATACAGTACAGAACATGGCTGGTCTAGGGCCTAGATTAAGCTGTTGAGCTGTTTTAGTGTCGTTGTTGAGCTTTTTGTGTGTGCGATTTTTGCTTTGGAAAACCACATGGATTTCAATGCATAAAGATGTCTGTAGGACCAAAACGGTGTGACAACTGCTCAAAAATAGCTCCTGCACCTTTTGGCGCGACAGGCGGTTTCGACCACACAACAAAACACAAAGTTGTGAACAGCCTCCAGTGGCTCAATCCGTGAGTTAAATCGCCTAGGTATGAACCAGGCCTCAATCTTCTGACTATTCACTCGAACAGCGGCAGCTATCTCCTTGTCCGTTGCTCTTAGAGGTATAACTAGCCATCTGTTACCTCTCTCATTTTGCTGGCAATCGGTCTCTGTGGAGCAACAACAAGCCATCTTTGTGGTCTGTTATCTTGGACGGGATGAATAATTTAGTTGTATGATGGCTACATATGCGAATGTGGTTTCCACACATCTGTTACTTTCCATTTATAGTATGGCTGAACACATAGATAAAGAAAATCAAGCCACAGTACTCATTACCAAATTGCATGATCCTATGGCAACTCGACACTCGCATGGTTTGTCTGGGCACACTGGTGCATAGATGGCTTTATTGGCCAGATTCATCCTTTAAAATATTACTTGTGTTGGCTTATTGAAATAGGTTAAGGTGCCATTGCCCATGACGACCAACCGCAAATAATTATGAACTGATCTATCTACAGTAAGCTGAGATCTGATTTGTAGTTGCACATTGTGGGTGCTCTTTTAAAACAAGAACTTGAGTTCTTCGTTAATAGTAATCGGTATGCAAGGAACTGGAACAGATGCTGACTTAATTTTTCAAGTTATTAAGTATTTCTAGGACATGTTTTTTTGCAATTGCCATTTGTTCAGTCTGGCCTATTTCTGGTTGTTGTGTTTGTGTCTGGCCAGCACACAGGAAATTGAAATGCTGCAGCTTCATGCTGCATGTGGAATCCCCTTGTCGCTGTATCTAGTGATACTGACAACTGAATGTTGGGTAAATCTGTTATTCTCTGTTGGCTAATGAGTGTTTTCAAGTACCTAAGTGGAAAAATAATGCATAACATGAATAGTGACATTAATGAATGAAGTGTACTGGTGAATTAATATGTCAATGAGCCACTTGGGATTGATTAGCAGATTTACATGATGTGAAAAGGACTGTGGACACCATTCTAGATTCAGACTAGATGAAATGGCTCTTGTAATAGAATGTCACTGGGACGCAGAAGTGAGCATGTAAATGTAATGCTGCAATATGAGTAATTCAGCTGCACTGTATTCCTGTCTGAGCGAACACGCAGGTGTTCTTAGCAGAACATATGGCAGAAAATTGAAGGCTGCAGGATGTGTTTCTGTATATTACTTTGCCAGAAATGTCACTGCCAAGGCTTTTTGGCTGATGTCACCATGTACCTGCCACACAGAAAGATATAGAAATTAGCACGCATCTTTGGGAAATATGCTTGGGGGCCGGGTAGACTTCTGGGGTGTGTGTGTGTGATGGATGGATCTATATCATTTGATTACTAGGTTATGCACACATGTATTTATCATACCTGTGTGCATAACCTAGTAAAGAAATGGTTACCTACCTGCGGCTTTGAAACAAAAGTCAATTCAACACTGCAGTGTTCTTCTCTGGTGAATGTTGCCTTTTGTCATGCTTATGGTTTCTCTGTAGTATAGAGGGAATGCACCTAGGCATGCAGACTGCTTCTACAAACATTTGTGAAAAAATGGGTCACTCTTGAGGAGCTCAGTGAATTCAAGCATAGTACCATGATAGGTTGCAACCTGTGCTGTCCATCAGTGAAATTTCCTTGCTACTAAATATTCCACGCTCAACTGTTAGTGGTATTATAACAAAGTGGAAGCAACTGGAAAGAGCAACTCGGCTACGAAGTGGTAGGCCACGTAAAATGACAGAGCGGGGTCAGGGCATGCTGAACCGCACAGTGCGCAGAGGTCGCCAACTGTCTGCAGAGTCAATAGCTACAGACCTCCAAACTTCATGTGGCCTTCAGATTGGCCCAACAGTGCGCAGAGAGCTTCATGGAATGGGTTTCCAGGGCCGAGCAGCTGCATCCAAGCCTTGCATCACCAAGTGCAATGCAAAGCCTCGAATGCAGTGGCGTAAAGCACGCCGCCACTGGACTCTAGAGAAGTGGAAATGTTTTCTCTGGAGTGACGATGATCTCTTAGGAAAGAGCCAGTGAACTAGCTCTTTCCTAAAAGATCAGCAGTGGCAGACCACTTGTTTCTTGTGTAAAAGGTTTCTTTTTAATATGTCATGTTTTGGGGTGTTGTATGTGAAATGACATTTACAACTAGGTATGCATTCATAGGAATGAATCAAAGGAAATGTATCATGGCGTTGCCCACTGGTGACTCCATTAGTGTTTAGTAGCGGGTATCCTCTCACCTACTCATTGGTGTTGTTTATAAAGATTGGCACAGGTTTTCTTTGTGCAATTTAACACATTTTTGTTTCCTTTTATACCAACGGTTATATTTATAAATTATATGAATGTCAGTTGCTAATGCAATTCTGGTTCCTTACTGATTTACTGTGTCTTGTTCTGGACTGTCTCTGTTTGGAGTCGGCCATCTTTTCTAACTACATATTGCTCAGGCAGCTCCAATTGCCCTCTGTTTATTAAGCTGACATAAGCCAGTTATTCCCCAGTAAAGGGTTTGTCTATCATGCTTGATCCAGTGTGTACTTGCATGACGCATGAAAAACTACCGTATGTCGTTCAAAGTTCTGATTGTTCCTGATTGATGGGTACCTAGAGACATAAACTTGATTAAAAGAATGTAATAGAAATGATTAGCTAAAACATTTTCACAATATAAAAATGTATTTTTGTAGCCAATAAACGTCAAGTCAACAGAAAACTACTGAAAGTGGATATATAGGTAGAATGAATATTAAGTGGAAACCTAAAATGTAATTGTCTTACTGTTAGCAGTTGGATCCCCAACATCCGTATCAATTCTTCTCCCCCCGGCAGTAAGCTGTGGAGGACTGCTGATTTCTGTGTAGCGGTTTGGTGCATGCTCCCTTCCTTGTCCACGCTCGCACCCCGTGCTTATCACAGCGCTATAGGTCTGGAACTTACTGCTGGGAGAGAGGAGATGGTATTGGTGCTGGGGATCAATTAAACTGCCATCGAAAGTAAGGCATATGTATTTTGCCTTTCTGCTAGATGTTCAATGTATTTGCTTTTGTGAAAAAAATTTAATTGGGGTTTAACCTAAACTTGTTAAGAATATAAATCTGTGATTGACCTGTTGCAATTAATATGAATGAAAAAAGGACAATTTGTTAATTATGCTGAAAATATTCCACATGCCATATAAAGATGGGAAATGCTGAATTGAAGAGGCTGCAAAATACCAAAAAATACGCAGTGGACTGTGTCAACCAGTTGCATTGCCATGTCTTGTTTGTAAATCTTGGGAAGTGCCGAGTTATTGTCCAGTGCCAACTTTGTACCCCCCTCCCCCCTTTCGATTGTCTGTGTTCTGTAGTTAACACGGGGAATTGCGCTCATTCTATGAATCATCAGGACTGCAGTTTTCACAGGGGGGGGGGGCTGCATAGTAAAAATCATACCTTGCAGCATGCTGTCCCTGACCCATAGTGCTAGGCTTCCAGGAGCTGCAGGGGATAACGGTGTGGCTAGAGTAGTGAAAGGCTTGAGTCGCATCAACCGTTCACAAAAAGCCTTGTATTTTTCTTTCAGATGCGTTCTGTAATTGCAGGAGAGAGGATGTCACATCCTAGCCCCTTCCTCTCGTCCTCCAATCACAGGACGTTTTTGTAGTTGGAAAAAAGGCTTTTTGTGAGTGGGCAAGGAGTGGAGAGAGGGCAGGGATGCGGCTTGAGCCTTTCACTACTCTAACATACTCTCCCACCCCCACAACACCCAAAAGCCCAGCAATATGTTGTGGAGCTGGTATGCTGCAAGGTATAATTTTTAGTCTATGTAGCAGCCCGCTGCACATAACATTATAAGAGCTATGTGGCACACCTATTGCTCTGCAAAGAAAAAAAAATTCCTTGAGTTCAGCTTTGACTTTGAAGCATACACTTTTGCTGATGGCTATGCTAACTGTAACCCACATTTTTTCTTTTTCAGGCTTCCGTACGCTGTGCACCTTTTAAGTGAAAGATGAAAAAGTTTAAGAGAAGGCTGTCTCTCACTCTGCGAGGCAGTCAGACAATAGACGAGTCTCTGTCTGAACTGGCAGAGCAAATGACCATTGAAGAAAACAGTAGCAAGGACAACGGTAAGCAGCATGCATGCATGAGGGATGAATTCAGTGTATGTTGTGGATGTCCTGTTTGTCTAATAACTCTCCTTCAGAGCATTAACTTGCTTGGCCACATCCTGCTTCAGTTTCCTCACAATGAGCTATTCACGTTTTAATTCTTTTTGAGAGAGTGTGTTCTGAAATGTAGCTTTGCCCTTCTGTGTTTCTGGCTCATTTCACAACTAGGCACCTATATACTATACATTCAGGATTATATACATGTGTGGGTTATGCATGTATATGGCACATTAACATTTCTACTTTTATATTTTGGATAATTAAACTGACGCTACTGTAAACTCAGGAGGTAAATCTTAAAAATGCATTAAAGTATTTTAACTATTAACAAATTGTATCCTATTTGTGTATCACTCGGCTGTAGATCATCAAGTCATCTCTGAGTTGGTGCTGACACTGTCCTTCCCTCTGGAGGGTGGCTACTTTTGTTCCCCATGATACCTGTTGGTGTTGTAAAGTAACCACCGCTCCAAGCTCACTCCTCTGATGGACTACAATCTTACGTTTAATTTACTAATTTGTATTGAGATTGTAGACCATCACGGGAGCGAGCTTGGAGCGGTGGCTACTTTACAAGACTACTTTAGTACTTTACAAGACACACGGACCAGCTAAATTATGCACAAACAAGGTACACACCACTTAAAGAAGACCTTAACCTACTTAAATGTCCTCTTACCTCTCTCTTCCTGCTTCCTACATCAATTGCAGATGTTTTTTGATACAGTAAATACTTTAATCAGTGTCCTGAAACTATATATAAAAAAATAGTGCACTGTTATTCAGGAGAGCAGAGAGAGATGCAGCAGACAGCAGGCCTCCCACCGCTGTTAGTTTTCTAAGCTTCTAGGCAGGAGCTGTAGGACACTAATCAGTGAATCAAGGCAGAGCAAGATGGAGAGAGGCAGAGTAAACTAAACATTATTTTTATTAAGATTTACTGGCGTGTGGTAGGTAGACCGGTCACCCAGTATATAGACAGCAGGCTGATTGTTACCTGTCTCCACAACAGGTACATTGACAGGGTTATTCACAAAAGGAGGAAGAGTTTGGAGAAGGCAGGAGAAGTGAACAATCTAGGTTCTAGGACAACATAGCTCAAGGCTGTGGAATTCCTATCGCCCGGGACATGCAGTGCCGGGTGGGTAGTTTTTTTTTCCTTCTACATTTAGCCCTTCTGCAGGCTAGCGGAGCTAAACATAGAGCGGGGCAGCCGCCACTCATTTAATACAAGTGATCTCAGATCACTTGTATAAAATGAGCAGCCATCTTGTCCGCCCCACTGTGGTTTTCGGGGTCCTCCGCTCTTCTGGGGGACCCAGCACCATGACAAACATTTCAGGATGGAAAGTGGGGAGCAGAGAGCGTGCGCTCTGCTTTTTGCGATTTGTGATCATTTGGGACAGGAGCGATGTTTTTACAGGGCCCTTATCTCAGCTGTCACAGGCTGCACAGAAACAAGCACAATGCAGTTGCTCAATGTTCTGTGTTGGAGGTGACAGGTTCCATAAGGAGAATTTTGTCACCTCCAAACAGTATCACATAGGGCAAGGATGTCCAAACTCCCGCCCTCCAGCTGTGGTGAAACTACAAATCCCATGAAGCATCTCTCTCCAGGAGTCATGTCTGTGGGAATCTTGAAAAGCCTCATGGGATTCGTAGTTCCACCACACCTGGAGGGCCGCAGTTTGGACATCCCTGACATAGGGACTTGTGATGATGGTAATAAAGTTAAGTGAAAAAAAATAATAAAATAAAAATTAAGTGATAAAGTAAAGAACAATCTGCATGTGAATAAGCAATGCTCTATAAGATGTACAATGTGCATTAAAGGGTAAGTTCAGTTTCCCACGTAATTTGGGAAAATTGAATTTTCCTGCTCAAATCTGCCTCCTACTCCCCACATTCCCCTCCCCCAGCGATATACTTGCCCTTCGGCGCACGGTCCTTCCCCTCGGCCAGCACGGGTGTACTACCTGTGCCCCAGCCCTGCTCTATGGATTTTCATTTTTTGCTGTACTTGTTGGTCAGCGCAGTCTGGTGGCCATGCTGACCAATGAGAAGCGCTTCTTCGCTTGGTTAAATAGGGTTTTGGTTAAAAAAAAATATGTTTGTATCGAGACTTGTAGATTGAGCCCCCGCTTTAGTCCTTGGACAAGTAGCTTTGTTAGAATTTCCACACCCCTGATAGCTGAACTGGAAAGTGAGCTGAATTGGAGAATTTTTCCAAATCAGCTATGTTGTCCAAGATTGGTCACTTCTCCTGCCTTCTCCAAACTCTTCACCCTTTTGTGAATAACCCTGATAAAGTTTGTTCACACACCGTGCTCTGTCCACACCATACCAGTGGTCCATATATCTAGTGGTGTGCCGAAAAATGCAGCTCAAGGAACAAGGTGTGAACAAGCTCTCAAGGCAAGGTTTGAAAATGATTTACAAGAGAACTGGGCTTTCTAATATCAAATAAATGTAATTATTATGTGAAGCTGAACTTGCTGCTACACTAGTATTAAATGTTGTCCTATGAATTCAGTTTTATTATATTTTAATAAATATGAATGTATCCATTAGCTTAATCGCTAAAAAATTCATATTCCACACCTGTGTTGAGATATAAATATTACAGCGAGACACAGAGGTGTGAGTGTGTGTGTGTGTGTGTGTGTATGTATGTATGTATGTATACACTGAGTGGTCAGATTATTATGACCAGCCCATCAGTACTACTTTGGGCAACCTTTTGCCTTCAATACTGCGGCAATTCCTCTTGGCACTGACCCCACAAGATGTTGAAAGGTGATGCGAGGAATCTGACACCATGCCTGATGAATAGCACTATCCAGTTCTGTGAGATTTGATGGTTGTGGAACCAGCTGCCTGCTGGCTCTTTCAACTTCATCCCACAATTGCTCAATTGGATTGAGATCTGGTGATTGTGGGGGCCACCTAAGCAAGATAAACTCTCCCTCATGTTCTTGAAACCACTCCTGCACAATACGAGCACCGTGGCATGGTGCATTGTCTTGTTGGAAGAAGCCATCTCCATTGGGATACGCCATCAACATGATAGGATGAACTTGATCAGCAATGATACTTTGGTATGTTGTGCTATTCAGACGTTGTTCCACACGAATTAAAGGGCCCAAATCATGCCAGGAAAACATGCCCCAAACCATAACACTGCCCCCACCAGCTTGAAGGGTTGTACTCATGCATGTGGGGTGCATGCTTTCATGCTGTTCCACCAAATTCTTACTCTGCCATCTGTATGATGCAACTGGAAACGTGATTCATCCGGCCACATGACTTTTTTCCAATGTATGACTGTCCAATCCTTGTGTTCCTGTGCGAATTGGAGACGTTTTATCTTAACTGCAGACAGCAAAGGTGTTCGAACAGGCCTTCAGCTTCCATATCCCATATGATGCAGTGTACGGCGAACAGTGCATTCAGAGATCATTTGAGAGGACCCCTGATTAAAATGTGCAGTAATTTGATGCACTGTTGCCCTTCTGTTGTCTTGTACCAGTCTTGCCACTCTCCATTCTGCCCTAACATTGACTAGGTCGCTGACGGCCACAATTCGCACGTTCAGACCCAGATTTTCGGCTGACAGTCCAGTCTTTAAACACTTTAACAACAGCTGCTCTTGAACATTTAACGAATTCTGCTGTATTGCTGATACTCGCTCCGAGCGCCAACAATCATCCCACGTTCAAAGGCTGTTAAATCGCGTTGTTTACCCATATCTTCAGAAAAGAAAAAATCACCTTTTACTGTCGTGGTAAACAATCTGCTTCGCCATTTATAATGGTCTGGCCCTCTAGCAACGTCAGCGTGAAATTATAGCTAATTTGCCTACAAACGTGTGTGTGTGTGTCCCAACAGTTTACAATATAAGGAAGACATAACAGTAACAACACCCCCCCCCTCCCCCCCCAAAAAATGCACCAATTTCATACATCCAGGATTATCCTATGTGGGCAGATGAGGTGCAAATTGAACTTGCAGCAGTGACATGACCTCTCTCCAAACTCCCAATTTAAGTATCATCCGCAAACACAGACACATTGCTATTAACACCTTCCCACCTTCCCTGAGCACGTTCAGACCCAGATTTTCGGCTGACAGTCCAGTCTTTAAACACTTTAACAACAGCTGCTCTTGAACATTTAACGAATTCTGCTGTATTGCTGATACTCGCTCCGAGCGCCAACAATCATCCCACGTTCAAAGGCTGTTAAATCGCGTTGTTTACCCATATCTTCAGAAAAGAAAAAATCACCTTTTACTGTCGTGGTAAACAATCTGCTTCGCCATTTATAATGGTCTGGCCCTCTAGCAACGTCAGCGTGAAATTATAGCTAATTTGCCTACAAACGTGTGTGTGTGTGTGTGTGTGTGTGTGTGTGTGTGTGTGTGTGTGTGTATATTTATTTTCTCTCCAGTGGGAATAACAGTAGTGTGAAATAACCAAATCTCACACCACATTTTGTGAGGCTAGCAGCCAAATGCTGCAGTGCCTTCGATGATCTCACACTGCAGATACACAGCTAAGAGGCTTAAAGCACAGGAGTGCCTAGGCACAGAAAGTACACTGCTATTTTTCAAGGGGAATTTAAGACAAGTGTCTTCTCAAGGTACTGCTTAAATACTATGGGTGCACCGCTACCGATACTAGTATCCGTGCCGATGCCAAGTATTTGGGCGAGTACTTGTACTCACCCAAATGCTCTGATGCCTAGCCCGATACTTGAGCTTCCGGTATCAGGTAGCTGGCTCCATGCTCCCTCATCACTTGTGACAAAGGACCATGGAGCCGGCTTACCGACCAATCAGGAAGCTGGGCGTTGCATCATTACACTGTGCTTTGCTTCCTGATTAGCAGGGAAGCCATCCCCATGCTTCCCCGTCACCAGGTGATGGGAAAACATGAAGCCGGCCTTCTGGCCAATCAG